TAATCTGTATAAAATAGACTGGGGCAAAAACATCTCCGTGTGCATCTCTCTCTCTCTGTCCCTGCCTCTGCACCCACAAATGGGGAGGTGGGAGGGGTTCCACCCACGCGTTGCCTCTTACCTTTCACACAACAGGTGAGAGAATCTGTTCAGTTTAACATGGACAAACTGAGAAATACAAATTTAATCAAACCACATGGTGGCGATGAGTAGGACGAGAAACAGGTTATCTTCTAAATTACTTGGGCAGAGGGGAGAAGCCAAAACAGCAATAATAAAACTCCAAGAAGACAGAGATCATTTTATAAAGACGGAAAAGCAAGCAAAAAACGATAATGACACCTGAAGTGAGACGGGAAAGTAAGTGGGAGAGACTCAATTATTCGAGGAGAAGGGGAGTGGGTGAGGGCCTCTATCAAGCCCACTGCATCCGGACCACGGGCCAAGCCGCAGGGAGGGGCGCCCGCACCCCGGGGTCGAATCCCAGCAAGACAGAGGCGCAAACAAGCCACGCTGGGTGTCCTCCGTGGGAAAATGACACGAAGAGCATTTGACACCCAGACTCACAGGACAGCGAGGGCTGTCAGCCTCCGAGGCCACAGAAGCCAGGCCCCACGCCAGCAGCAGGAAAGGCAGAGACCCCACGTCACCAGCCAGTCCTCAGAAGACCCGGGCACAGGCACCACGTTGGAACTGGGGCCAAGATCAGGACTGGCTGAGATCTGGGTAAAGCGAGTGAGGTCTCAGATTCCTTGACTCCACCTCGCTGAGGGAAAACCTGTCCTCTTCTTGGGCAGAAGCTAAAGGCTTATTCTCTGGAGAAGACATAGTACAGGCTCATTGGACCAATGAATTCTAAGCACTGGTGAGAGTCTGAGCTTGCACCCAAATTAGGGGCAGTAGGCAAAAATAAATGAATAAATAAATGAACAGACAAATAAATAAATGCACACGGCCTGTGAGATAGGCCAACCTCCAGCTTCCCACTGCCTTACTTCCCCCCAGGGCCCTTTGCCCTCCAGCAGGAGACTGGAGGGATCCTCTCTGGGGAACCTGAGGGGTGCAGCGAGAAGATGAAAGAGTCGACCCTGACCCACGGCTCGTGGCTTTGCACAGGGGCTCCGAGAGACCACCCCGCAGTCTGTGGGCTCTGCCTCCTGAGAGGGCTCTAGCCACCCACCGTCATGTGAGCAAACCACCAAGGATGACCCAAAATCCGGAGGAAAGACTCCACTGAGAAAGAATGAGACCAAGACAAACAAAATTCAACAAAGACAGACAGTGTAGGAGGGAAAGAAAACCTCTCCCAGACCCCAGCCCCTCCCGGGAAAACAGGTCTGTCGGGTCCGTCACCACCACTTGCAAGAGATAAAAAAAGATTCATGAAACCAAGAAATTAAATAAAGATATTAAAAAAAGAGGATTCAGAGAACAAAGTAAGAGCTCTTAAATATTACAAAAAAGAAACACACAAGGGTTGGAAGAGAAAGTTCAAGAAATCTAGACAGAGCAAAATAAAAATAAAAATCAACCCGTTACCCCCAACAGAGACACCCCCCTCCAAAAACCAAAAGAAAGGAAAGAAAGGAATTTTTAAAAATGTACAAGGTCGGTCCAGGAGATTAATACCCACATAGCAGGTTCCAGGGAGAATAGACAGAAGTAGGAATCACCAAGGGTGCGTATAAGACGGGGGCACAGGGAACAGGGCCTCTGACGCAGAGAAATGCAAAGGGGGTTCTTTGGTTATGGTGAAGAGAAGCCCTAAGTAGTCACCCTACAAGCCCGGAGAAAAACCAGTCCAAAAAGACAGGGACGGGGGCAGCCCAGAAAGCCCGCTGGTGTCTGAGAAGATTCCGTTTTCTCGCGTCCTCACAGTTCACAGGACCAGCCACTCGCCTGATTCGAGCCGGTGGGGTGTGAGCCAAGAAGGACCAGAACTGAGGGTTGGCAAATGAGGAGCCTTGTGGGAAGCGTTCCGAGGGATTTTAACTTTTAAAAAGGGCTTGGAAATAATCAGTGGGCAGAGACAAAGAAAACCGGACAAGTGAAAAATGGCAGGGGATGAGTAACTCCAAGAAAAACGAAACAAGATAAGGAAGGCAAAAAACCAGAAAACCACACCAACCAAAAGGAGCTTCTCCCTGCTGTGTGAGGCCCTGACGGTGGGTCTTCTGCAAGCACAACAAACTGCGCGTACACCCCGCCGGCAGGACTCGGGCAAGTGGCTGGTCCTACGGAACTGTAAGGGGACAAGAAAATGGAATCTTCTCAGACACCAGGGGGCTCCATTCAAAGTTTCTGCTTTGTTACCAGGGAGGAGAGGCCGGATGAATGCCGGAGTAGACGGGGGCCAGTCCTGTCACTTCCACGAAGATGACATTCTGACAGGACACCATAGCTAACATAAACTTTGACGAACTAAATAACATAGTACCAAAACATAGAAAGCAAAAGGGGCAGGAAACACAAGAAAAGTGAATAGAAATACAATATTCATGAGAAATTAACAAATCTCTTAGTCCTTGACAGGTTGACAGACTCCTGGCAACAGAAATCAACAAAAAAGTCAAAATTATAGGGGATTTAAAGTACATAACTAATAAATCTGACACTACATATATTGAATTCTAGCATATGTACACTCAGTTCTATAATTTTAAAAGTGTCCATTCCTTTCAAATACAGTTGAAAAAAAATCCACAGAATAAACTTCAGTCATTAAAACAAAATTGGAGGTTGGACTTACATTCTCCATACTCTGCACTAAGATAAAAATTGAACCATGAAAATTGAAATATTAACAAAATATTAACAAAATGCCAGCTGTTGACTTTTAAACTCTCCCAAAACAACGCCTAGGCACAAGAGGAGATTAAATCACCCCTTTAAACAAGCTTTTAGACAATAATGAAAACACCATACATTAAAAAATATGAGACACAGGTAGAGTCGTTAAGAGAGGACAATTCAAAGTCTTAGCCATTTTTAGTGACTGAACAAGAAATTCAGAAAAATAAACGAATTACGCATTTGACGTACATTTTGAGAGAAATAAGCCTAACACAGGAGAAGTCGTTAATCAAGAGGGGAAAAAACAATCACGAATACAGACGACGGGCAAAGAGTAACAGAATACTGATAAATACATCCCAATTTTACTTGGTGAAAAATATGGAACACAGTTTGACTCCTCAAAAAGGAAGAAAACACAAATACAGAAAATTAACAATAATAAAGAAGCGATAACCACAGAAGCGGAAGTAGGAGAAGCCCACAAGACACGCAAGTCACGGTAACACGCGAAAGACACAGGGAGGGGATCATGTCCAGAAAAAGACTAACTGTAGGAGAGAGAAGCTCACATTGGCCCAACACCAGGAACAAAACCAATCAAAGTATTAACCCAGCGCCAGCGCCCAGGACAGTGACGGCTGGAAGCTGAGACACGAGTCCAGATGTGGAGAAAGAACGAAAACTGAAATTATCACACGGCTGATACCGAAGCCTGACAAGGAGCAAACGAAAGGGAAACCCCAGACCCGTGCGATGCATGCAGATGAATGCCAGACAATCTAATCAAACACAGCCCGTACCGCGTGCTTCCGTGGCTGCCGTCACGAGTTGCCCCAAACCTGGCGGCACAGACATGCGCCAGCGCGCGCTCTCACATCTGGCAGCAGAGCTGTGTGGGTCTCGCCGGCTGGCGCGGGTGCTGGCCAGGCTGCTGCCCTCCGCTGGCTGTGGGATCCCCTCCCCGGCTCCCGGGCCACTGGTCCGAGTCTTTCCTTTCTCCGCCTTTCCATGGGCTCCACCTTTGCACTAGCAATGGTGCGTCAGGTGCTTTCCGTGTCTGGACTCTCCCTACCTCTTGCCCCGCCCTCAGGCAGGAGGGAGCTCTGCTTTTAGGGCTCACGTCTTTCTCCCTGGATGTCGGGGTACCTCCCCTTCCACGGCCAACTGATCGGTTGCCTTGACTGCATCTGCAAAGTGTGACATCACGCTCACAGGCGCGGGGGAGGGGTCACGGGGTGGGGGACACTACGCGGAAAGAATGACAGACCGAGACCGAGTGCGCGTCTGCCCGGGGACGCAGGGCTGGCTGCGTCAGAAGGCCGTCACAGAACTCCCCCCCTTTGCTCCTCGCCAAGAGAAAAAACATTTGTCTGAAAAGAAGCTGCAAACTCTTCCATTAAGTCCCACACACGCCCAGACCCCTGCGGCCCGCAGAGCAGCCTTCAGCGTCATACAAAGTGCATCATCGCAAACCAAGAGCCAGCGGCCCCGGTGGCCGAAAGCCGGACGAGGCTTCAGGTGGGGGACCCTGTCCACCGCGGCCCCCTGGCTCCGATGAAGGCGCCTCCGCAGCAGACGCAGGCTGAGGCCGGGCTGTTTCCAGACCCGCGTCCTGGCTCAGACCCCAGCCCAGCACACCGGCCCCCTGGAAGTCCATCGCGGCCTCCTCCCCTTCGGGGGACACCCCCTTTCTAGCCGGCGCCTCCAGCATCCTCAGCCTTGCCAGGCACACCAGGGCCTTCCCTGCATTCCCCTCTGCCTGCCTCTGAGGCTCGGCCATGAGCACCCTGCCACAGCAAGCTCATGAGACTGGCCACCAGCCTCTGTGTCCCCGATGTCCACAGCTGCCATGTGCTCTCAAGCTCACGACGGTGGCAGAGGGACAGAACGGTGGCCAGCCCTTGGGGGGATAGCAATACCTCCTGCACGCCCACATCTAAACAAGTGCCAGATGCGGCCGAGATTCAGCTGCGAACAGTGACACCCATGACCCAAGGAAGCTTGGCCACGTGCACCCGGGCCCCAGGGGTGATCTCACAGAGGAGGCCCCGGGGCCGGCCCGGGCGGCCGGGGAGCCGAGTTCGCAGGGCAAGTGGGCCGGTGTGTGGCACAGGAAGGGCTCCGGCGGCTCGGAAGCTGTTGGAGGGGGCTGCCGGAGCCCCAGGGGAGAAGCCCACGGCGGAGGCCCCAGAGGGGCAGCTCACCTGTTGGGCTTGTGGCCCGTGCTGGCCAGCAGGTGCGCCTGGTCCAGGTCTCGTGGGAAGCCGTGCAGCACCCAGCCCCGCTGCAGGCAGTCCTGCTGGCTCAGGCGCTGGCTCAGCATCTTCATGATGATGCTGTCGGGGACTGCGGAGGAAGGGAGACAGGGTCACTCTACTCCCCGGACCCACACGTGGGAGGGCCCGTGGCCCCTGTGGCCCTCGAGCTTCCCACTTGGCCATGGCGCACGGGAGTGAGGAGACAGGCTGTGGTGCTGTGCCGGGGGCGTCCCGGGCCCCAGCAATGGGCAGAGACAGGGACTTGCGGTGGCAAGAGCAATGGGTAACCCTGACCTTGACTCTTCCCTGACCTTGACAAGATGCCAGGTGCAGCTGCAGCTGGGAGTGTGCCAGCCCTCCCCCGGGGGTCCCCCACCCTGCCCCCAGGGGTCCAAGACTTTTCAGGGGAGTGCGCTGGGCCCCATCCTCCCCTCCCCCAGCGCTCCCCTCCCTGACGTTTGGAACAACCAGGTCCCCCCAAGAAGCACAACACTCGCTGGTTCCACCTGGAGGCTGAAATAGACGACGGAGCCCGAGACGGAAACGCGCCTGTTTACATTCCCACGCTGACATTTCCCGGAAACTCGCTCCTCTCAGACTCATTAAACGCCCGTGTTGCTAACGTGCCGCGTCCCAGCAATTTGCACTCATTTTTCCAGAAACACTTGGCAAATATTCTGTTGTTTGCTGTGAGTGGGGCCCCACGTCGAGCCACTCTTGCTAAAACTGCACCGACCGAGTCTTGCGCGGCTTCTCTGGAGATGCTCGGCCACCAGCCGCCCGCGGGCCCCCCTCGCCGAGGACCCCGGGTGGGCCCGGGTGACAGACGCAGGAAATCGCCCGCTCATACCTGCTTCCCGCTGCGGCCTCAACACGCCGGCACGGACTGTCCCTGTCCCCGGAGGGCCACACGACCCATCCCAGGTCACTTGCATTTCCCTGAATTTGTTGTCTCGCCTCTTTGGGCCTTTCGGCCCCAGCCTCCAGACAAGCTCCCGAGGGCTGCGGCGTCCTGGATCTCCGAGGACACCATCTTGTGCTGCCCCACAGCAAGTCCTTGGAGCCCCGGGCGGCGAGAGATGCCCTCGGCCCCAGCAAGTCCCCCAGAAGAGGGGCCGGCTGTGCAGCCCCGAGTCCCAGTGCTGCCCCAACCAGCTCTGCTGCCCTGAACCTCAGTCTCTTCTGCCAGGAGGCCTGAGCGCCAAGGAGACCCAAGCACAGCTGCGTTGGGAGCGACCTAAGAGTAAGCCCAGGAAACTCACCTGTCAGCCCCCAGCTCCTTTCCTAGAGCAAGCGTGAGCCGAGGGCCCTGGGCTCTGCCGGCCGCCGCAGCCCCGGGCCTCAGTGTCCTCCCCTGGGACGCCACCTCACTGCCTGCCGGGCCTGGGATGACTCATGGGAGGTGCCAGAGCCACAGGGGGGCTCCCCCGAGGTGTGCAGAGACCTTTAGGTCCCTCTGAAGTCCCTCCAGATTCCCACCCGGTGGCTACAAGAAAACCGTGAGAACAGGTAATTCTCCCTCACAAGCTGCAGCTATGCTGAGCCCGACCTCCCCCCACCCCCCCACCCCGCCCAGAGCCGCGTGCGGGAGGGGTGTGGGAGGGCGTGTTTCTATCACGCACGCGCTCCACGCCTCCGCTGGCTCCGGCTCGCCCCTGGCTGTTCCTTCTGCCCACCCGCGCCTCAGGCCCACGCAGGCCCCGGTGTTCGCAGCGAGCCTGGGGGCCGGGATTTCCCGACTGGCCTCTGCAGGAGTCGAGGTCCGCGTGAAGCCAGGTCTCCCGGGGTCTGAGCTGCCCGTGGCGTGTCCGGCGGTGGGGGCTGCGGCGGGGTGGCGGGGGGAGGGTCAGTGTATTGACCACGGGAGGGGGAAGGCCTGGAAGGTCAGCCACTGGCCTCCCTCCGTCCAACACTGAGAAAACAAGGCCCCAAAGGTCCCCACTAAGGGACCCTCCCAGCCCACTTCTCGGCTCGGGGAAAAATCCGAGTCTGGGAACCGAGGAGACGAAGCAGCCTCGTGGTCCTGGTCACTGCCGCCGGGCTGGCCAGGCTGGCCGGGGTGGGGGTGGGGGGATTTCCTGCTCTGCATCGGAAGTGAAAACGACGTGTCTTTTTATCTTTTTAAAATTTGTTTTAAATCTTTTTTTTTTTTTCAAAGAGGCATGTATTTTTATTTATTTATTTGTTTGTTTGTTTATACACGCACTGGGTACAGTCAGAAGCGCGGGAGGGTGAGAGAACTCACCAGAGCCAGAGCGGGGAGCAGAGCAGGCAGAAGGACCGAAGTACACTGCTGAGGGGAGCAGCGGGCGGCAGGAGAGGTCTGCGCGCCATGCGGGACCCTCCTTCGGGGGCGGGGAGCAGCCGGGGATCGAACCGGCGCCGCAGAGGCCGCGGGGAGCTTCGCAACCCAGAGCTCAACCGCTGCACCACCGGGGAGGCCCTTAAAATTTGTTTTAATTATTTATTTCCCTGTCCCCCTCACATCGTGGCAGCCTGGACGTCCTTCTAGCCAGCAAACCGATTGTCGAGAATCGACAGCCAAGTGGGGCAAAGGACGCCGCTGGGCCCCGGGGCCCCCATTCTGTCCCCCAGTCAACGCTGAGTGGGGAGGTTCAGAGGATGGCGGGGGGTGGCTCGGGGGGTCTGGGCTGGGCCTGGCGTCTCCCAGCAGAGGCTTCCGCAGAGAACGCGAGGGGCCTTACGGGGAGCGGGGCCGTGTCCCCATCGGGAGGACGTGAAGGAAGCCCCGCAGAGCCCGGGGTGCTGCTTCCCAGGCCCCGCGCTGCCAGGAGGGCCCTCGGAGGAGCAGGGCGGCCGCCTGGGGCTCTCCTGACTGGGTTCCCCACTCGGGCCCGGTCGGCCGTCACCTCTTGCCAGCCCACGCATCTGACCAGCCCCTGCAGCCACGAGGCAGCCACGTGGCCCAGAGCCGGCTCCCTGCCCTGGCGCTGTACCCGCCCCACAGGGCCGTGCGCCGCCTCCTCCCGGAGGCTGCACGGCTCAGCCGCGGGCGCCTCGGGATTTCTGGGCTTGGCAGCAGCCTCTTGCCCGTGCAAGCCGCCGCCAGGGGGCTGCCTCTCTGGAATGTCCCGTCAACCCCAAATTTAGCAAAGTGCAAGGAATGATTAGCCCATTATTTCATGAGGCCACACCACATTGGCGGGGGTGGGGGTGGGGGTTTGGCCCTTTTTTTGAGATTCAAGAGCGTCTATAAGAGACGGAGCCCTTGCATTGCCCGCGAAGTCATTAAGCTCTCGATCCACGGGCCCCCCCGGCTGAGTGTGCAGCACAGGGGCCGTGGGGTGCACAGCCGCAGAGGGAGGCCCCGGGGTACCACGACCCCCCAGGACACCTGGCTCGCCCCAGTCTTGGCTGGTGGGGCATCCTGTTGAGAGGCTGGAGCCACGTCAAGCCCCTCCTGCACCTCGACGGCAAGTGCTGAACGGGAGAAAGGGCAAGGCCAGCCAGGCCCCCCAAATGTGAATGTGGACTGGACGGGACAGCTGCTTCCCGGGCAGGTCTGGCGCCATCCTTGGCCTCGTCCAGCTCGCAGAGGCAGAAAGGGACGGGGGGGGCAGCTGGGGGGCGCTGCCCATGCCACCCCGGGGCAGCCGCCAGTGCCCCGACCAGGGCTGGGCCGGGAGGGAGGCACTTGGGTAACAGCGAGGACAGAAGTGGAGAAATGGAGATGGCGCCCTCAGCTGGTGCGCGGAGGCGGCAGGACCCAGGGCTGGTGATCAACCCAGAAAGAGCCAGGAAACCTCCTGCCACCCTCAGGCGACCCCACCCCACACCCGCTGCACCCCGACACTACACCAGCGTTAACACCGCCCACACGGCACTCCCCTCACACACAGCTACACACACGTGCGCCTGCACACGCCTACACACGCCTATACCCACACGCACGTGCCCCTGCACACCCTGTAACAGGCACACGGCACTCTAGACCCCACACCACCTACACACCACACATGCCCCTATACACACCCCCCTACACACACCACACACGCCCCTATACACACACTTGCCCCTACACACACACACACCCCTACACACACACACTCGCCCCTACACACACACTCGCCCCTACACACACCCCTACACACACCACACACGCCCCTATACACACACCCCCCTACACACAGATGCGCCCCCCCCAGTCCTGGGGTGGGGGGCACCATCTGACGGTCAGACACAGCCCTGGCGCCCCGGGGCGCGGGAGGGAGCGGCCCGGGAGGGGTGGGGCTCCGGCCTCCGCGGGGAGCCCGCCCCCAGGGTGGCACCGGGTTGCTGGGGCGCCTTGGACTGTGGCGGGGCGCCGGGCTGTGGCGGGGCGCCAGGGGCTGTGGAGGGGCGCCGGGGCTGTGGAGGGGCGCCGGGCTGAGGCGGGTGCTGTGGGCTGTGGCGGGGCGCCGGGGCTATGGCGGGGCGCCGGGGCTGTGGGGGGCGCCGGGGCTGTGGGGGTGCCGGGGGCTGTGGGGCGCCGGGGCTGTGGGGGGCGCCGGGGCTGTGGGGGGCGCCGGGGCTGTGGCGGGGTGCGGTGGGCTGTGGCGGGCGCCGGGGCTGTGGGGGCGCCGGGGCCCGGGGCGCCGGGGCTGTGGCGGGCGCCGGGGCTGTGGCGGGCGCCGGGGTGTGGCGGGGCGCCGGGGCTGTGGGGGGCGCGGGCTGTGGGGGCGCCGGGGCTGTGGCGGGCGCCGGGGCTGTGGCGGGCGCCGGGGCTGTGGGGGGCGCGGGGCTGCGGCGGGCGCCGGGGCTGTGGGGGGCGCCGGGGCTGTGGCGGGCGCCGGGGCTGTGGGGGGCCGGGTGCGGCGGGCGCCGGGCTGTGGGGGGCGCCGGGGCTGTGGCTGGGTGCGGTGGGCTGTGGGCGCCGGGGCTGCGGCGGCCCGGGGCTGTGGCGGGCGCCGGGCTGTGGGGGCGCCGGGGCTGCGGCGGGCGCCGGGGCTGTGGGGGGCGCCGGGGCTGTGGCGGGGTGCGGTGGGCTGTGGGGGCGCCGCCGGGGCTGCGGCGGGCGCCGGGGCTGTGGTCTGCCGCCCCTGCCGGCCCCGCGGGGAGGAGGCGCCTCGCGGCTTCCGGGACCTCGCG